ATAGTGGCGAAGAACAGCAAACATAACATTCCTGTTGATGGAATCAAAGGCCTTTTTGAAGTCTATAAAAGTAACTATAAGTGGCAGTTGGTGGGTTTGGAAGGCTTCAATGATCCTGCGGAGAATGTGTACTTGCTGCGCACAGCTTCTACCTTGACGAAAACCTGCCTGGTTGTTTCTCAGAATCGGGTCTACGTGTTCCCTTATCCTTGTCAAAAGGATTTTGTTGTATACTTTAGCCGCTATGGACATTAGGGAGATACCTCTATAGTTGGTCATGAGGCTGAGGTCCCCCTTCTTAGGTAGGGGAACGATGACATTAGTAGTCCATTGCTCTGGAGGAGTAAGTGTTACAAAGACTTCGGAGCAGAAAGCGTGTACAGTTCTTGCCATTGCATCCCACCCCCTCTTAAGGCTTCTGCAGTGATTGCACAGTCCAAGCCAGGGGCTTTGTTGCTTTTCATAGTTTTGATGGCATTGACTGTTTCCTCGAGTGTGGGTGGGTCTACACAGATGGGAAGATCTATGTCGGCAGGTGGAGGGAGGACAGATGTTTGTGGTCCGCCATCATTGTTCAGTAGGTGAGAGAAGTACTGACTCCATTCCGTCAGAAGCTCGCTATCGCTAGATGGAGGGGTTCCGTCTCGCTTCTTCACCTTTACGTTGGCTTTCCTGTTTTTGCCTGAGAGTTCATTGATGATCCTCCATGTGGAGATGTGATCACGTCTTTTGTCCGCTTCTTCAAGGGCATCTATTTGTTGTTGTGTAAAGGCAAGTTCATCGTGCCTATAGGACTCGTTTAGGCTCGAGTTGAGTTGCCTCCATATCTCTTTGGTGCGACGGGTCCTTGCAAGCAGATATTTCTTCTTTGCCGAGTCTCTCTGCTCACGTAACTCCAGGGTCTTGTCTGATACCCAGCTGGGCATTCCACAGGATTTGTGTTTTCCCACCACCTTTTCCGCTGTCTCTGCTACAGCCTTCTCCCACTGGGCATACCTCTTCTCCCACTGGGCATACCTCTCAGAGAAAGACAACCAAGTTATAATGCTCATTGATATCATGATGCACTTACAAATGTACATGGGTGTGTTTGAAATTGTAGAAACATTGACAGTACTTGTTATGAATGTCTTATTTTTCAGATTTCAGATGAGATGTCCAGTCTTGTAGTGGCCCAGCTTCTATTTCTGCAATCAGAGAGTAACAAGAAACCAGTTCACATGTACATCAACAGTCCTGGTTAGTTCTAAAAAAACTTATAATTATACAATGTAACTGTCTAGTAGTTATTAGTCTTAGGGTTTACAAAAAGTTCTGTCTTATCTTAACACTGAGTAACAATGTCATACAGATAAGTTACAGCAAGTGTATAATACAATACAACTCTCTCTCTCTATCCAGTTTAATGCTGGGGGTTTGATGTGCTTGCATCAAGTGCAAGTCTTTTTTTCTAAGCAAGATTTTTTACGACTGGATGCCCTTGCTAACACTAACCCACACCCTGGTAGGGCCCAGGCTCCCTCTAACTGATGGGTGTGTTACATGTAAGTGCCTTTCCCAAGGGCACAACATCTGGGTGCATGTCCCGACATGTCTGGGTCCAACCCCAGGGATTGAACTTGGATCCCCTAACAGCCTTGTTTGACGGTCGGATGTTTTATCCACTACACCACACAGACGCCACAGACAACAAGAGGATGAATACTAAGTGGATATAATAATACTAAGTGAGATACTAAGTTGTACAATCTACAGAGAGCTTCAACTACATGTACATGTACATGTACATGTACCTCCGGGGATCAGTGACTTGGCAGGATTTGAGCCCGGGACCTCTTGGTGCTGAGCTGAATGCTCTGCCGTTATGCCACACGACCCCGCCCTATTTACCAATTTCACACTTCCCATAATGCCTAGTAAAAGTCACGGATATGACGTTAGACCACCCCCTCCCCCTTCCCCGATGTAATATTTAACAAGTTCTATCGACAAACTGGTCAACTATATCGTTTTGAATTATTTCTCTAGTATAAAGCGCATGCCATAATTGCTTTTTTGTTGGAATTAGAGATAATGACGTACCTTCTATCGTTCTACCTTCTACCGAAGACCCTCCTACTCGCACGGTCACATTAAGTATATCCTCTTCTTACATCATATCCGTGATCTTTTCTAGGCATTATGGGAAGTGTGAAATTGGTGAATTGCAAATGTTACAGTTATTCTGCCCCCCTCCCCCCCAGGTGGGTCTGTGACAGCTGGGCTGGGGATCTATGACACCATGCAGTACATCCTGCCACCTGTCAACACCTGGTGTGTGGGGCAGGCCTGCAGTATGGCCTCCCTCCTGCTGGCAGCTGGAACACCTGGCTGTCGTCACTCCCTACCCAACTCTCGCATCATGATCCACCAGCCACACGGACAGGCCACGGTACACACACAAACAAGTTATAGAATAGACTAGAAAGGCCGACATTTTAAAATTTGCTTGGGAGCAAATACAGCATATTTCAGTCCATAGGATGGTCGGCATATTCCATCGTCGTGGTTGTAGATGATGGCGTAATGATCTTAGGCACATAAAATTGAATGTGTGGGTCATTGCGCACGACTTACGTGCAATGTGACCTCAGGTAACCCGCAATGGAACACGTGTTCCATGGCCAACGGCAGATGGAACGTGCCATTCTTTAGATCGAACGTGGAATGGGTATAGCACTTTTGGCCCTTTTTTGGCTGAAAATAGCCATTACAGTCCCCAAAATGAGTCATTTAGAAGTGGTGTATGTCAAATATGTGACTGCTGTTCTGTAGACACAGTCACGTTCAAGGTACCCTTATGCCGAATTTCAGATCATTTGGTTGTAATACATGTACCAGGGCTCAGGATCCAAAAATCCATTTTTTGTCGAAAAATGCCCCTAAAAATCTTCATAAAAATTTTTCAAAGGCATATATCAAAAAATGAAAAGAAAATGTCTGGGGTATTGGCCCACTCTACCTCCATGCCAAATTTCAGGTCATTTGGCTGAATGATGGCGGAGTTGAATCCCTCTGACTGAGTGG